GACTACAAATAGATTAGTGAAAGAAAATGAAAGGATGAAGTAAAAGAATAAATAATATTAGGTGATAAAGCTTTAACTCTACATTTTTTATTCATCTCTCAGGACAATAGGCTCCTATCAACCAAGCAGACTGCACCAAAAAAAAACGTTCAAAGACCTCAGCTCAAAAAAGAGCATTTTTTCTAACAATTAGGAGCAGTTTTCAATATGTCATGGAAGAGGTTAATATTCCTCACCCAGGAAATATTTATTCTGTTTTAACAACAAACTCAATTTCACCTCTAATTTTAATGAAGCTATCAGCCAGTGCATTACCAGCTACACTGTTCCATGAGGGCAGAATCAGAATGCTATTGCACCTTTCCAGTAAGAAAGGAATCTGGTTTAAGAGAAACAAAATACACACAAATGCAAGGAAACTGTTTGCAAGACATCATTCACGCCAAACAGGTAGTGAACCTAACTGCATCCCTCCTTGCATATTCTCAGCCTTTGAAAATCTGGACACAGTCCTGGGCAATCCTTTCTAGGCAGCCATGCCTGAGCATGGGGAATGGGGATCTCCAGAGGTCCCTTCAAATCTCATCTATCTTGCAATCACATTGCTGTTATGACAAAAGAGCCACCACTTTATTTTTACATGTAAAATATTCCTTTTGTGAGACAAACGTTTACATGCCCCTGTGCAAGTTTCTCAAGTACACTCAAGCCACACATATGGGGGGCACATTTATGGGATCAACTCTTAAAAATAATGTTTTAACCACAAACACATTGTAAAGTATAATTAGATTCTTTAAGGAGAATTATATCTAATATAATTTCTAAAATCAATTTTAAAATCCAAGTTATAAATTTCATTTAAATCCTATCAATACCAGGTGTTTTTCAGTATATCAACTTCTTTTAAAAAGTCAAGTGGTAATTATGACAATTTAGAGAAAGTTAGCTACTAGAACAATATATCTTAATACAATGTCTTCCCCAACTGCTTAAAGATAATGCAGCAAATATGTGCTAGTTCACTATTACTTAAAGAATATGGATTGAAATAAATGAGGGGATCATGCATCCATCTACTACACTTGTCATCTTATGAATTCCATGTAGTGAGATCGTGAGTTCTTCCACTTTCTCATGTAATTTTTAAATATTTTCCTATACATGCCTTATTAGTAGAAAAAATAACTGAGATTTAATCCTTTGCCTAAGGAAAAGCTTTCATGAACTTCAGAGTTTTTCACTAAACTGAAGTCCAAAGGATTAGAATTTTAAAAGATGTTTTATAAAACAAGATGAGGAAGTAAATTCAAGCTGCTGAAACCTCAAACTATACTTTAAGTCCAACATTCACACTCAAGCTGCAACTTTTGCCATCCAGAATAGCAAAAAAAAAACAAAATAAAACAATCTTCAACTTTTTTGTGAAGCATTTGTAGAGGCAGATGCCCATATTTAAACATGCTTTCATTCTAAAATAACAAACATTTAAAAAAGGAAATGACAATTTCTCAGTTGCTTTTGTGCAAATATAATTACAAATGACAGTTTACAACTTCGTATGAATTGCAATATTGCTACCAAAATGTAATTTATATAAGATGGTAGAGAAACAAAGCATTTTTATCCCAATAAGGTCACTGAATGTGATAAAGGTACAAAGTCCTAACACAGTTAGAATTACAAATAAATTAAAGATTTTTGTACTTGTTTCTTATAAGTAGAATACTCAACAGCAAAAAACAGATCACTGAACATTATGTCCAAGAATTTTGTTGAGACATTTGCTTGGCAGAGCTTCTTCAGAATTGCCTCCCAGTCTGCCCACACAAGCTGTGTTTTGAAAAGTTCACCTTATAATCTCCCATGATTTCACTTGGTTTTCAAATTACTCACCTCTCTCAACAGAAAGTCATGCTTGTCACACTGCACCTCAGACAATTTAAACTCTGGGACTTATGTGCTTGACACTGACGAGTATTATTTCAAAAAAAACAAGTCAAAAATATGTGCAGGTAATTTTTTTTTGCAAACTTACATTATAAGCCATTTACTTGCTATGTTTCCTGAATTAATAGAACTTTGCACATCAAGAATCCACAGTTTCTGAATCTCCATGTGCCTAAAATTACCCAGTTTTCCATGTGATCAAGTTCAAATACCTTGGAGAACATCAGCTGTAACCTAATTACAAATATCTTTAGTCTCTGCAACTGACAGTTTTTGTCTTTTTAAAATGTGCCTTTACATCTAAAAGACTAGAAGTTGCTTGTACTATGCTCTTATTTTGTCAGTGTACCGTATATTCCTTATAAAAATTTTCTATGTACATTTCACCCCTAACAACTGGGGTTACAGAAAGGATTAAAAATAAATAAATAAATCTTAGCCTAGTAAGATAAAAAAAGATAAAAATGAAGAACAATTAAGTCAATGTTCAACAGTTCTGTTGAATCATTTGATCATGTCTGACACTGACAGGAACCTATTTACACTCCCCTGAAGGCTTATCACAAATAAACAAAAGGATTTTTATACCTGCTCATAGACATATACATTTATGCCTAAAGATACAGTGGATCAGACTTCAACAGCACATGCCCTAGTTTTAACTGGCAACAGACACATTTGAAGCATGAACGCTTTCATTAATTATCCAGATTAGAAAATCCAAAGTGTCAGATGCTCTGAAACACACTAATTACAGAGAAATAAGACATGCCAGGCCACTACCAGTGCTCAGGAGCACACTTTACCTTTACAGGAGGTCCACTCAGTGCAGGCATGTCCAACCTACAGCGTTGGTGTGGCATGGCACAATTCACAATGCAGCTCACACCCAGCCTCATGCCACTATGGTCACAACTCTTCATCAAGAGGCCTGGCCCAGACCCAGGCATGCACCCATCACTCAGTACAAACAGTACTGTGTGACCAACACTGCCTGGGCTGAAAGCAGGACACAGGGAGGGCCCATTGCAGCAGTGATTCTTTCTCTTGCACCCACCACTTGCACTCAGCCACATCAAAACCTGTGTGTATTACTCACGGCATGAGCATGTGCTGCTTGTTGGCTGTGTATTTTTTTAAAAAAATGTTAAAAATCAAACAGACTCCATTATAAAAGCTACTTAAGAGATAGTAAATCTATTTGGAAAAAAGAACCAAAATAATTTCATGAACACTAGTTTACTAAGCAGTGTTTGGAAAGCATAGCAGATATAATTTGTCCTGATTAAAAAAAAAAAAAAAAAAAAGGATTTTTCTAAGATCAGTTTGCCTCACTAGACTGGAGCCAGGCAAATCAAAGAAACAGGAAAATACAATGCAGGAAATTTGGAAAGTAAGGCTTTGGCAATAAATGAAAATACTGATGCTACAAATACAGCTCGACCTGCCATTTTCATTACAGGTACTGTCAGTTAGTATAATGTCACTGAAGAAATGGCTTCTACAGTGCCATTTAAAGACAACTAAATATCCTGATGCATATGAAACAGTAAAAGATAAATTAAAACAATTTTCTTTAACCTTCAACAACATATCAGATACAGCTACTGATGACACCCTGGTGATGGTCTGTAAAAAAAAAAAAAAAGATGGACCTGTAAGATTAGTAGAAAATTATGCAACTGCCACTGACAACTCACATTTGATAAAATATCACAGCATCATAAATCCAGGAAAATTTCATGCAGAAGCTTTAAAAATAGATAATGTCATGCAAATCATCAAACCATGAATAAAGTCTAAGAGATTGAATCATCACCAGCTCCAGGAGATCCCTAGAAGTATGGATGCTGATTAAGAAGACACCATTTGCTTTTCTGAAGGAAGGGAGCTAAAGTCAGAGTGAAATGCTAGAAAGACTTTATGATTCGTGAAGCAAAGATCAAGTCCTTTATGGAATCAAAGGGAAAAACTCTGCCAGAACATATAGATTAAAAATGGCTCACAGATTTAGCATTTTTGGTGGATTCGACCTCTCCTTCAAATGAGTTAAATGTATCTTGAAGGTGAAAATCACCTTATCTGTGCTACATTTTAAAAAGTAACTGCATTCAAAAAGAAATTATGGCAAACTCAAGTTATAGTTATAATTTCATGCATTTTGATGTGTTGGCATAAAGCATGCAGCCTTGCTTTTGTTTTGATACAGGAATTTGAGAAAATCTTTCAAGATTCCAAAAAAAATCAAGAATTTTTTGGTATATCTGCAACTCCCTTTCAGACAACATAACCACTTTACCTGCAAATCTGCAAATGGAACGTACAGAGTTGCCATCAAACATTCATCTCAATTTAAAATTTGATCATATATTTTTACTACACTTTCATAAGGTCTGTTTTAGCTGAGAAAAATATCCATCACTCAACAGTCACACCTTGTTCATGTCACCACTTTTTTTTTGTCAGTACTCCATTTGTGAAAAACTACTTTCGATGATGCAGCACAGGAAGAGAAATATTTCATCAAAAATCTCAGTTGACCTCTTTGAGAACTACTAGGAACGGCAACCACCTCCACTGAACTGATGCACAAGTTTCACAAATCCTAACATCCCACAAGTTTTATGGTTTCCTTGTTCTCTGCTTTTTGCTTTTTAATTCAAGTATACTAAAAATAAGTTTTGGTAGTCATATACACATTATCCACATATTTCACTTCTGGCCAAGACAATTCCTGTTCATCCCATGTGGCTCAGGCAAGCCAAGAAGATGGACACCCACGACCAAGCATGTTCATATCGTGTAAGGCATATCAGAAATTAGATTTAGGGCACATTACACTGCACAGTTCAAACAGTTACAGCAGCTAAACTAACACATAAACACCTCTTTGAGGCAACACAACTTCATTACAATGATGACATGACCCACTACTTAGTAAGAACCCTTTCTGTTTTCAGTACCTTGTGCTGTCATAGATTTCTTATGTTAGACACCTTGCTTTAAAACACAACTATATAGCTTTAATCTCTTAAAAAAATAAGAATTACCTTCTGAGGGGTCAAAATCCTCTGTCTGAACTTTTCAATTGTCTCTTGACCTGCAGCTGCCCATGCACTAGCAAATGCCTCAGCTTTGTCTTGGTCCAGGTGAATGCTCTGCAGCTGCTGTTGCAGTGAAGCAGGCTTCAAATTATGATAAACAGCCTGTTTAAAGGAAAAATAACTGCTATCATTGAAGTATTGTTCTACAAATTGTGCCAAACCAATTCTACAATACTACAGATGGCCTCCACATGCACACAAGATTTTTTACTAGCAGCTCTACAGCGGGACTGCAAGCACTGTGTACATCCTAACCATTTCACAGAGGAAATGGAAGAGTGTAACTTTCCCAATCACAACTCAAAATGCAATAAAACAAATGACTCAAGACAGACGAACTATGAAAAGTTACATATGCAAACCAAACTCAACACCGTATTACGTCTCCAGAAGTAACTCCTGTGGTGACATGGCACTCCAGAAGGAACTGAGATAACAGGACTCATTTCAAAAATTACCTTGTAAAGACTTGGGCCAAAGAACATGGCACTGAGATTTACCATATCCCCTATCGCGTACCAACTTCTGGTACATGGTACAATGGGTTGTTAAAAACCATGTTGAAAGCAATGAGTGGCAGAACATTTAAGCACTGGGAAAAGCATTTGGCCAAAGTCACCTGGTTAGTCAACACCAGAGGATCAATCGACATGGACCTGCCCAATCCAGTTCCCTACATACTGTAGAAGGAGATAAGGTAAATGTAAGGTCCCTGTGGTACATGTAAAAAGCATGTTGGGAAAAGCAGTTTGTGTCCTTCCAGCTTCTGGAAAGGGCAAACCTCTCCATTGTACTGTTTTTGCACAGGGACCTGGGTTCACTTAGTAGGTGATGGAGAAAAATGGGGATCTTCAATGTTTATCTTAAGGGAATTTGATGTTGCGGAGTGCAATCAGTAATTCCAATGTATATGCGTGTGTTCAGTGCACGTAAGTCATTGTTTGTGCACATATTAAGCATGACACAGTGATATGGAATAAGGGATAGAATATCATGGCTGTATGATTTCTGTTACTGATGTTTCACATCATAATATCATGTAGTGCACTGGGAGTTAACATTCCAGTTCTGTGGATTGTCGATAGCTCCAGGATACCTTTCAGAGAAGAGAACTACATCTCACAGAATCACAGAATTGGGGCTGGAAGGGGCCTCCAGAGATCATCTAGTCCAACCCCCAGAAGACTTTCACTGTTCTATTTCTGTTTTCCATTCAGAGGGAAAGATAAAACTGCTCCACAGTCATGAGACTGTACCCTTCTTTTTGCTTGTCACTGCAGTGTGTGCTCCCTAACCATCTCGCCTACAGCATTAGAGTAAGGCCTTTTGTTTTGAAAACACGCTCTCATTTTATTTGACTTCTTAACCTCAATTTCAATCATATTATATTGTGTTATCTCGCATTACGCTATCAGATTTAGTAAATTAGTTTTCTCCCTTAGCTAACTGCCACTGGTAAGGCCCATCTCACTACCTTTTACCTTTTCACCCTTCCCCATCTCCCAGGACATGGGCCCCCCAACCCCATTTAGTCAATGAATCAGGCCAAACTGGGCCTTATATAGTTAGTATACCTCCCTATGCTTCCACTGTAGGTAGCGCCCAAGCATTTTAAAGTCAATTGTGACCACAAAAAAAGGACAACTTCTCCCACTTCACACTGTCAAATTATTAGCAAAGCTAAATTATCACAGTAATATTCTGAAGGGACAGTACTTTGCCAGAAAAGGTGAGATTGCTACTATGGCCACAGCATTGATTTCTGTGATAAACACTCTATATCACATTGTGCCCTCCACTCAAAAAAAAAAAAAAAAACAAAAAAACCACCTCAACAACAGGACTCCATCATTCTTCCATACCTAAAAAAAAAAAAAAAAAAAAAAACACACTACACCACATACAGCGAAGACCATGCAGCAATCTTGTAACATGCCTGTAGATCAAAAGTCTATTATCAAGGCCACGCTTTGAAAGAACAAGCAGCAATTCTAAAAAGAGTAGCTATCAGTGGAAACACAGAAGAGCCTTTATACAATATGTATTCCATATAGAAAACTTCTTTGGACTAATTAATATGTTTCGGGCTTTTTTTTGTTTGTTTGTTTTTTGGTTTTTTTGTTTTTTTTAAGAAAGTAAGTCCCAAGACATGCTTTTCTAATTTTTCTACTCATCTCCAGTTACTGTCATACAAATAAAGCAGCCAAGTGAATTAAAACAGAGGTTGTGCTGAGGCAAAAATTCAAAATTCCAGTTTGGATCTTGCCACAGTTTTTAACTGTTTACTGGATAGGAGGTGCAGGCAGGACTACACTTTCTCTTTGATACTGTGGAATATCCTAAGTTAATTAACATTAAATTGACAGGTGCAAGAAAGACTCAAGTCACCCAGCACACCTGATTAACACAGCGTGCAATCCCCATGCACAAAAAACTTACCACACTTGCACAAAATTACAGCAGCAACACTGCAACTGTCAGAGTTGCTGAGCTACCTTGTTTACCATGGTTTTCCACCTCAGTGGTGGTTGACTGGCAACCCACAGCAGATGCAGAAAACATCCTCCTTGTACAAGACACTCAGCTGTACAACATGCAGTCACCTACTCATTCAGACACGAGAGCTATAGCAGGTATGCCTGTTCACCTGCAAGTAAGAGGAAAGGCTATACCTCACAATTAGCAACACTTCCTCACAGTCATGCAGGTGTCTGTATTTAGCTGGAAAATCACCCCATAAATGCAGTGAGTTCCATACAAATCAGTAAAGTGTACAAGTGGAAAATCATGTCCCCCAAAATACATGTAATATACTACAGACACATTCCTACAAAATATTTTTTTTTATCTTGACATCTGTATTTTTAAATCTACAGTCTGATAAAAGAAAAGCATTAATCAATTCAAAATGAAAAAAACAATGTACCTGTTCCAAAATAAATGATATGGCTTCAAGAACTAGATGAAGATCTTGCTTTTCCAGTGAAAAAGCTATTTGAAGTTTTTCTTCTTCCTCTTCACTGAAGCTGGTTTCAGCCTGAAACACAAGAATGGTTACTACATTCTCTTCAGCCACCATGAATGTATCTGCCAAAACAAAAGCTCTCTCATCACTTTTATAAACATTACATTTCTCTAGTTTTTTTTTTAACTGGAAATAAAGTAAAGCGCTTTCCACCAGAAAAAAAAATCTAATTTATCTCACTGAAATTCAGGTTTAACTTCTTATGAGATACTGCAGCTTCTATCAGGATCACTTGAAATACACCACAAAAAAAAAAAAAAAGCTTTCTCCTTATGCTTGAGAGCTACTAAGAAAACATTTCTCTTTTAACTGCATCAGATCATCACGTGCAACAAGTTTCCATAAATAAGAAGTGCACTGCTTGAATCAGACTCCAAAGAAAACAGGAAGCAAAAGCTGTTGTGTAGTTAATTCTGTAGGCTTTCTCCACTTCAGATTCTTCTTTTGAAAAACGACTGTTCCGTGACAGAGAAAATAAAGCCTTAAGTCAAAGCATGCTGCTTTGGAAGTTGGATTTAAATACAGTCCATACTATACCATGTTACTGAAAATTACTATAAGTGTGCTGTACTTTTAAATACAGCAGTCATGATTACTGTAATAAATTAAACAGTAATTTAAACACAGACATCCTTTAAAATGCAAATACTACACTGCAAACATCAGAATACCACATTTTGACTAGTTAATAGGCCAAAACAGGAGAGCTCCACCAAAAAAACGCAAATGAGCTGACAGAATAAACAAGATAAGGCAATTACACCAAAACGTCAGCAATCACAATGTCCACAGGAACAGTTTCAAAACTGAAATGTTTTGAATGATCAACTTTTAGAAGCAGATGCAGAGCTCCAGGCACCTGCTCTGTTAGGAAAGTAAATTAACTGAAGAGCTCCAAGGCCTTCATGCCCAGGTCAGGTACTTTGAGAAGGCAGTGGGAAGATCCACGAGATGTCTCTTTAACTTAGCTTACTCTTGTCAAACCTCGCTCATGTTAAAAGCTATAAATCTGATACTGAGCACCAAAAAAGTTAGCGATGCTTTCTTAACAAACTAGCATCCACTCAGAACAACTGAGACAGCTCTCTGCAATAACAGCAGCATCCAAGCCAGCAATTCTGGAAGGGAGAAACCAGAAACAGAAATAAGTACTGAAAGAACCCTCACAATCCCTGAGTCGCAGCCGCAATCTTTTATTTCTACCTGTGCTGCTCCCACCCTGCACTGCTTTAGCGCCAGCCTGCAGGTGAGCATAATACAAACTTCATATTTCAGTAAACACAGAACAAAGGGATATGAGAATAGAATACAGTTGAAAGAAATCCTCAACAAAAGCACTTGTGTTTAATCATTTCTCTTACAGTTCCATATTTAAATTCCCTTTGATGTCTCGGGACATCGCAGAGAAACCAAACTGCTGATTTTATGCTTAATGCACAATGAAAAAAAAAAAAAAAAAAAAAAGGCAAATAAGCATATACATGAACGGCAAAGGCGACAAACGCGTTGGTTCCGAGCCGCACCGCCCACCTTCAGATGCAACCTCTGCAGCAGGCGGGACAGCAGGCGCGGGAAACGACCCGAGTCCACAGCGTTGAGCAGCAGCACGGCCCTGCGAATGCTGTGCGGAAGCAGAGGAAGAGATCAGGCTGCAGCAAGCCCCGCCGCGCTCGCCACGCCGCGCTGCCCTCACCCCGTAGCAGCGCTCAGGCCGGGGCGGGCGGGGAGCGGCGCTGCCCCCACAGCCGCTTCCGTGCGCCTACCTGTCCGTCTGCGGAACCACGGCCGCCGCCATGGCTGCCGCCACTGCCGCCCTGCCCCACGTCAGCAGCGCGGCGGGGCGTGCCGGAAGGCGGCTTGCAGTCTCCTGTGAGGGGCGGCTATGATTTTTATGTTGTATTTTGTCATGCTGTTTTTTAATGCTTCTGCTTAAATGCTTGCATCTGGTCACGCGAAGGGAAGAAATCGAGGCTGCACAGCCTACACCTGTGCATCTAAGAGCATTTGGTCTGATGATTGTAATGTGTGTTTCCCAAGCGAGACCGAACAAAATAATCCACTGAAGCATGTGTAATTTATTTTAAAATGTCTTAAGATTATGAGTAACGTATTGAAGGAGAAGCTACAATAAGCATTACTATTAAGAAGTAAGAAGTGTAAAGCTGTAGGGACTGTAATGATGCTCGTACAAATATTTATCAGACAAATATTTATTGAGGAACTGTCGGTCTGTATTTCTTCACTCAAGCTCTTCTGCTTTTCCCACTGAAGTTAATCAAACCTGTATGCTGTTCTCCTTTTGATGCATATAGAGTTCTGTTGTGCCTTTATGGGAGATAGTAAAAGGCCAGAGAAAATTATCTGGAAAAGAGTTCAAAGCTAGTTTGGTTTTTGGTTTTTGTTTCTAACTGTGTTCTGTGCTTGCATAGTTCAGAGGCTGGCAAATTGTGGCATTCTTATCTCAACAAATGCTGGCATGTACTGAAATAAGTTCAGTACTGGTGCAAGAGTCATTTTGCTTTAACTGATGCAATAGGATTGAGTAGTACCTTACATACTGACAGGTCTTCATGTGGACAGGAATCTTGTAATGCTTCATTGCAATATTTGGGACCTTACTTTAGGGAAAAACAAATGATCTCCATTTTCTGCCTGCTATACAGTGATAAAAATCTGTTGTATTGCTAGTGTCCATTTCAGAGATATTAGTATACGTATATAATTGTAGGTTAACACTTATGGAGTCCTTAAATAAAAAGAGTTTTATAAACAAATGTTGGTTTTGATTTACAAGAGAGATTTGCAAACAGTGGATGAAAGAAAAATCAGCATCATTTTGCCATTTTCTTAGTACAGAAGCAGGCTCACATGGGACTAGTCATTTAGGTGGTCAGCTGCACAGCCTGAACATACAGGTGTCCCAGTATGTTGTGGTGATTTTGTCATTTAATTTCAGATAGACATGGGTCTGCTTTCTCCTTCAAAACTCCCATCTGATTCATTTGATAAAGCCTTAGGTATTCTTTCACTTTAATGCACTGTCATATCCTAAAAGTCTTAGCATTTAGTGGCTTGGCTTTTTTGTGGCCAGTTTGAGCTATATATATACAAGGCCTGCTGATTTTAGGGGGATCATTTATTTTTTATTTTTTTAATCCTTTTTTAGCAGTGAAAACTTCTTCTCTAAAACTATAGACAAATTGTTCAGTAGTGCTTGTCTTCAGCATCTAACTGATTAGCTTAAAATCTAGTAGAGTGAAATGAAGACAAACAACAAGGTTTTGCACATAGCTATCTTTAATTATCTGAGTTTTCAAGTTTGTACCTAGCAGAACATGCTCAGTGGAGTCTTTGGAATCAAAAGGATCTCAAATCAAAAGGACCCCCAACCATATATGAAGTTAGTAGAGGCAAAAACATCTTTACCTTCACAAAAAATTTTAGGCAAAAACACTAGGCAAGAGAAATAAACAGGAAGATAAATTTAATCAGTTTTTAGGCAAGAGGCTAACAGATGATATCTTCACTAGACTGGGCCCCAGGGAGGGAGTGGACTTACTTATGGGTGAGGTTTGGCTGGCAAATTGGGCCCTCAGTTCCCCACAAAGGGGAGTCACCTATGACATCAACCCTTCTACAGGCACTTGGGCAGATGAGGTAGGCAGGGAGGGGATTTGCTCTTTGGTCTACCCTAGTTCAGGAAGCCTCCTGTGCAGTTGTATGGGAACTGCTGAGTCACGGCCTGAACCTCTGATTAATCACCTGAGGCGAGCAATGAGTCAGCCCTGGGAGCACAGGTGAAAGCAATTCACCTGTGCTGCAGGAAGGGGTGGAGCCTGGCTCCACCTCTGCTAGACCCATTTAAGAGCTGACTACCAGTGGGGAAGGATCTCTCTCTCTCTTTGGAAGATCCGCTCCACTGGAGTTTCCTGAGCGAGCCCACGACACGGGTAAGCCTCCTATTTATTCTCTTTGTCTCACTGTGCCTAACTCTCTTGCTTATTTCATTATTATAGCATCTCAATATTATTAAATTATATAATATTCCTTTATGTAATTTTCATTGATTATACAGCAGTGACATCACCCCTCCACTGCAAAATGTGCCTGAGTCAGAGTTGAGAGCCTCAGTACAATTTTACTTAACATGAAATGTTAAAGTGTGCTGAGTAGACATCAAGAAAGAAGTGCAAACAACTCTGACAGACATTTCATAATAAAAAAAAAGCGGAGTTTCACTATAATAAAACATGAAGAAAGAGTAACTTTACTCAGCTACAAACCTATTGGAACAAAATCAGGGATCAGTATGAAAAGGGAAAGCATTGATCACATTCCCATCTTCAGTCTCAATTGTATCATAAACCCATTTCCTATTGCAGCGACATTCTGGTCCACACTTATTTGAGTTGCATTTGGGGCAAGGATAGAAGCAGCCCAGGCAGTTCTTGTCCAGACAGTCGCATAAATCAATGTTACTTCCAAGCAGCCGGCCGTGCCTGTCATACTTATTCAGAGTTCTAGAAGAGCAAAGAAACAGTGATTCTCAGAGAGTGCTTTGACATTTTTAAAGCCTAAACCCAGGAAATGTGGAAAACACCTGTCCAAGAACAAATATTTCCTTTTCAACACCCTTGCAGCTCAGGCAAAATAACAGTGTTAGATCCTAATTGAAATAGGAAATTCTAAGTCACACAGAAAAAGTTTATTTTCCCTGTGCACCTTTCATATGTAATAAGAAATCTCTGAAAAATATTAATGCTCTTATTCACTCCATTTATATTCAGTAAACTGCATTAAAACCATTTTTAAAAGCAAAATTTGTAATAAATGAACACATCTTACTTGGGTTTATTAAAACAGTCTTGTTTCGTCTGTGACATGCGTGCTTTTTTTCTCTGCTCTCTAGTTTCAGGATTGAAGTTAGCTACCTGAGGTCCTGGATTTTGAAAAACTAAGTGTTTTAATTCCTTCTTAACTTTTTGCTAAAAAAAAAAAAAAAAGAGAGAAGAGCAAGGTTATAATTTTTGTAACTAGAGCAAGGACTTATTAGCTACCAAACACCCTCACTGGCTTCCAGATGGCATTAAGATTAGTATCTTTGCTAACTTAACACAGGTAGGAAGACAAGACAAAGCTCTATACATAAAACTAAGATCATGGTTTTAGGACTATTTGTTTGTGTAGCTGTTAATTGACTATTGCCTTGATAGGATGTGAAACCTAATAGGACTCTGCGTATAGATTCTTACTCTGATACAGTAGCATGGTTTGAAATTCATCTTGGGGAGGCAGAAATCATGTACTTTTTTCTTCAGTTTATCCATAATATTAAAAAATATGTATAATTATAAACATATTGACTAGATTAGCCCTTATCTTCACTTTTCCCTAAGGTACATATAGATATGCTTTGTCTTAGCAGGCTGAGGGCAAGGGAAATATCTGGAGGATCAGCTAGTGCAGGAAGGGAGCAGTAGGTACGTGATGTCTAAGAGAAAAGCATGAATAAAAATGAAGAAGCTAAACTAAACATCTTTAATAGAGACGCACAGCTTCTGAGAAACATAGAGAGATATCACTGCTGTGTATTTTCTGTTGAAGTCTCATAGAAATGTATTGGGCTGTCTCCTACATTATTCAAACATTTCTCCTTTGAAGTTGGGGTAAATTTTTGGTGCAGAAAATATACTTCAGCATCATTGCTGTCTGTGATCATAAATAATGCAATTTCAAGTTGGAAATATAATAACCTGTGGAGATAGCCCTCTCTCTAAGAATACTTCATTTCCTCTCTATTTCATTAGAGCTTGGAAGTGCTTAGCCCTCTAAATTACTGCACTGCAAACTCAACTATTTTACAGTTGTTATTAGTGGTATTTTCTTATTGACTCCAGCTTTTAGCTTTTATAATTATTGAATAAATTGAAGGCAGATGGTAAGGATCTTGGCAATAAAACAGTACTGGAGAAGTCATACCAGTTGTTCTGCTGTCGTTTTGTCTGCAGCAGGACAGACAGATTCTTCTGCAGATGTTTTCTGGGCAGTGCTGCTATTCTTTTCATTTTCTTCCATGTGCTCATTCATGTTGCCTTTATGAAATACATGCATGTTAGACACACACAAAAGTGTGAGATTACTGGCCTGTAAGTGAAGTTTTTGAGGGCAGTAAGTGATATCCACAGCAGAATTTTGTGTGTTCTTCACCAATATCAAATGCAGAACAAATTGTGGCTCAGTATCAGGCTTGATTTTAAAATTGCATTACAATGATACACCTAATACAAAATACAAAGGCTGAATCACCCAAGCTACTTTGTTTTTAATCATTAAATAAAATTCAGAAAATCTCGTATGTTGAGTAACACAACTGTTAATTCAAAGAAATTTCATCATCTTTGACTCTATTGCTGATACCACGTCACAGCGTTGACACTTTAATGTAAACGTGAAGAGCATTATTCTCACAATGAAGCATATAAGCAGTCTGGCATTCAGTGAAGACAACAGCACGCATGAGTTGTCACTTCGCTTGCCAGCAGGTGACACTGTTGTGCTAGCAGCAGTTCGTCCTGCTAGGCTCCTAAGGTGAGGCGGCCAGCAGGTTACAGCACAGGAAAACAGTGGTTTTCAGCCTAAAGCCAAATTAGTAGAAGAAAATTTCCTGCTCTTTATTCTCAGCCCTTAGTTTTGTGAGAGATTTTGTTTAGAAATACAATGTGCAGCTTTTAGATGAAATAGAAAAAAAGTGCCTCACTCTGCTATCAAAGCACTCATGAGGTCTATGGGCTCTGTGGATCTTTTTTCCAAACACCAACCAACTCCTCTCTCTCACAAAGAAATGGTGGTGGCAGCTGTTCAGGATAGATAACAACTACTTCTTTTTACTCCGTTTGTGAAGACTCTTACTTAAAATGTAATACAACGTAAACAGCTCAGTGCCTTTAACATTAATGCCAAACAGCATCAGCTTTGTTTTGGTGTTCTTGAAAGCCTTCCTTAGGTGTTACCCAGTCACTCCCACTGAAAAGTACTGCAGTGATCTCTGCCTGGTTACCTTTCGCATTAAGATTGTTGCCCAAACCCTGCCTCAGAGAAGATCTTTATCCCTCCATTGCTGGAGGGTCAGTACATCTCTGAGAAAAGCAAGAGAAGAGTTTAGGCATTTAGTTCCTCTCTGCAACAAAAGCAAGGTTAGCAATGAGAAAGAACTGACACTGTAGTAGCAGGAGGGAAGTTTGTTTTATTTTTTTTAAAAAGCAAAACACCAGCGCTTAGTTCCAGTTAGAGTTTCCCTTTCTCCTCTCCAGTGATGTGAAGAATGACACCTCACAACAGGGTGCTCTGGAACAAGTTTTAGCCCTGGGACTCAGATGTCTTTTTAGGATTAGACAGCTAAAGCTATAAATGGGAGATTATCATTTGCTATCTGGGGGAGCCTGCTTCTCTGTTATTTTTTGCTAGAGATCCACATATAAAACAAGAAAGAATATTCACAGGAGGTTAATACTGCTTTCCAAATGCACTCAGCTTCGACTCCCAGTACAGATTTGCTTCCTGCATCTCCTCTCCAGTCATGCATCCAACACTTTATCAGTATGTATGAATGTCATCTTTGCCTGTTAAATTACAGTGTGCAGGGGTCAGGAGAAGTATAGCCATCAGCACATACCAATGTAAGCACACAGAATTCACAGTGCCCTTTTGTGTCATAAATATTCAACCTCTTTGGAAGCAGTCCTAGCAGTTATCTGGAGCCAAACATCCAATATCAAAAGCATATTTAAAATCTTGACAGAAAAAGAAAAAGCCAGCATCATTTTCCAAACAACATATTTCAAATACTCTTGCATCTCCTCAGTGAAAATATTCTGCATAGAAAATGTAGTATATTTCTGTCACTGTACATGTTATAAATGGGAAGTTTTAAAAATTTAACCTCCAGGAAAGATATTAAAAAATGAAGCAGAGTGGGACTAGGAAACTATGTAAGATCCATATACTTGTAGACTGATTTTTCTTCCAGATCATGTCCAGAAGGGGATAAGGAAAAGAGGGAAACTCTGAGACATCCACTTTAAAGTCTGCACAACTTAATTATCCAAAGGAAAGGATGATTTTACCTGATAGAGTGTTTATCCATCTAATATAAGTGAGCTTTTGGTCTGCTGTGTCTAGCTGCAATGATAATCCAGGGGCAATGCATTAAAAGCTAGTAATTACCATTAATATTTCATATTAATATGTCTTTAGAGGACAGCCATCAGTTGCACTCTTCCTCCCACAGAATCTCTGCTCCTCTACACCTTTTAAATATAGCTAAATCTTCCTGAAAGTGACCATCCATATCTCAAAGCACTGCTGTGACTAAAGCTTATGGCTAAGACACAGCAATTGCAGCATAGACCCTTTGCACAGTGAAAAGCAAAGCTTTTAAAAGCAAATTAGGGGAAGAGGAAAATCAGAGTCTGCATTATATTAAAAGAGACTTGGCCTTATCCAAGTGACAGATGTTTTTTATTCAGGGAACAGTTTCAGAAGATGTCGGGATTTGGAAGGAACTGGGTCTGTTTAGGATTTTCATAAGAGAAATGTTTTCCTGTATTGCTCTTTCAAGAATTCAGTATTCCTATTTATGATCCTCGCACTGTCCAAATATTTCAGCTAGTGAAATGTGTTGACCATCATTCAGATACTCCAGGCTGCTTGATCTCAACAGCCTAAAGCTTGTACGTACCCCTGCAGAGTTTGCCAGAGTGATTGTACATTGTTTTCAAGCTGCATATGTTCACTCCTGGATTAGACTGAGACATTTCAGTTGTCACATCTTTCTCATAATGTAGTTCTCCACAGATGTTGTTGAACATTCACACATGCATCTTGAAACCTCTGTAGAAAATCTGGTGACAGCTTAATTAAGAAGGTGAATAGATTCATATTCCTTAGAATTAATTATGGGCTGATCTGTCAAGATGTGGAAATGCCACTTATTAAATAGTGCCTGCCTTCTCTTATAGCCCCATTTGAGTATCTATGTTCAGAAGATGGCCTTTAGTTGAGCAAGAAAACACAGACAAGATAAAGAAATAGGCTTCATCTCTTCCAGCTCAGCAAGTTTCCTGAAAAACTCATAAGTGTGGTGAGAGAGTAATGGTCCGTCCTGTGAGCAGAGTCCAGACAGCACATCTCACTCTTTCCCAATAAAATAAATCAAATCCTCATGAGTTTTCCCTTTCAATCAAAGAGTCTTTCTGCCTCCCTTGAACTGAGGAATACTGTAGCTGAATTCTAAGAGACAATCATCTGATTGTCCTGCATAGGCAGAATAGGTCTGCTGGAATCACCTTCCAAATACCTAGAGTTCTGAAAGGGATATGTTCAGATCAGAGCAGAGAGCAAAAGATAAATGAAGTTACTAAGAATTTAATATTGTACTTACCCGAGAAAGAGGCTGGCACAGTGTGGGTTTCTTGCTGTATAATTCCTCTGATTGTAAGAGTATGACGTTAGTCCCACAGTGACTGAAACAGAAGACAAATAATCAAAATAACACTCCCCAGAGAAGCAGGTTGAAGATCGTGCCAGGTAACTATCTTTTAAATAGTACTTGTCAAAAAAAAAAGTGGAAATTAACAACCTATAAGTCAATCAGGACAAGAGTCCTCATGCATTACCTTCCACTTGTCATATGTGAGTAAAAGCATAAGCTTTTCTTTTTTTTTTTTTTTAAAGGGGGGTCGGGGAATAAGTAAATGACAAAAATTGTAGTTACTGTAGCATTTTACAAAAAATTAAGATTTTTCTAGAGCAAAGAAGAAGTGAAATGTAATTTTGTAATATCTCCAACAGGCAAAAGTCAGCAAATAAATATGTTGCCTAATAGCTACAGTGACATCAAAGTCTCCCAGTTCAGCTTGCTGTCCTTTAGTATTGTTTGTTTTACCAGGGGAGAAAATTGAGGCTCCACCTGTTACCTCCAGATGCCAACTCTCAGTGTGGTACATGCTTTGCTGGTTACCATTACTCTTCCCTATAACACAGTCAAACCCTAAAGAACATACAAAGCTGTCAAGTCTCATAAACTCTCCTGTTCTGCTTAGACAAATAGTTCAGAATGTCTTTTCAACTACATTAGCTATATCCATCCACTTTCTGATCATTTCACTAACCAGTCTAAGGGCAAGTGAATTTATTAATTTACTGTTTTATTTTTTTTTCACTCCAAATACTGTTAAAACCAAAATTTGATGTAACATTCTAGCAACAAATCTTAGCTAGGTGATTTAAAGGCTGCTACACATAAATTTGATTTGTTTACATGCTGTTTTCCTTATCATGAAAAATAAAATAGAAATCCCTCAGGGGGAAAAAATAAACTCTCCAAGGTATTCCTATAACAGCAAGAAACAAACAAAAAACTATAACTTGTTTTATTCTCCTACACATTTTCCAGTATTCGGATTCTTCTATACCTTATATAATGCAGGAAACAGGTATTGATAACCCTATAACCAAAAACAAAACCAAAAAAAACCACATTATTAAATGACCTGATGCTTAATATCTCATTTTCTTCAGTTTGGTCTCTTTGCATTTATTAATACTTATGTACCAATTCATGAACTTTTGCTGAACTTTATGAATTAATTATGATTCCTGTTTTAACTATTAACTATCAGCCTGAAATCCAGTCAGAATAGTTTATACTGAGTGAGTTAGGCCAAGAGGTTATGTACATAAATTCAAACTGTTGGTGACATTTTAAAAGATTGATGCTGGTGGAAAATCTCCCAATGATGAAAGCAAGAGAGAAAGAAGGGGAAAAAAAGAAAGGAAGAAGGAGAGAAAGAAAGGGAGAAAGAAAAAGAAAGGGAGAAATTGGAAGAAAGGAACATTAGGAGAGAAAGAGAAGAAAAGTAGACGAAGTTAGAAACATCAAGATGTATGTAACTGCTTATAAGCTTTCTGGCCATTATCCAGTTGTTTGCTTTGCAACATATTTGTTCTTTGTATAACCTTTCCCTGCAGCTAATGGATGACACTAATCTTCTGTGTTACAAGATCTTCCCTATATGCTGTCACTTGCTCAGCTCACTTCACTGGGGACCCATGACCTGTGCAAGATGGTCGGGGCTATAACAGTGACAGCATACACAAGCATCTACTTAAAAGCTTAGTGTTGTGTTTTAGCTGTGGCCGGCACCTCAGCACCACACAGCCACTCACTCGCTCTGTTCACAGTAGGATGGGGGAGAGAATCTGTTAGGCAAAAGTGAGAAATGTCATGGGTTGATAAAAACAGGTTACTAGGAAACCAAAAGCCTTGTGTGCAAGCAAAGTAAAACAAGCAATTTATTCACTTTTTTCCCAACAGAGGGCGAATGGCCCGGTACTTCCAGGAAAGCAGGACCCACTTCCTCCTTTGCCCCAAGGCTTTTATTGCTGAGCACAGCCTCATATGGTAGGGGACATCTCTTTGGTTATCTGGGGCCAACTGTGTTCCTTCCCAGCCTCTGGTGCTCTACCAGCCTCCTTGCTGGTGTGGAAGCATGATAAACAGAGAAGTCTATGACTGTGAGCAAGCACTGCTTAGCAACAAATGAAGCATCATCATGTTGCCAGCACTCTTGGTCACAGATCTAAAAAAAAAACAAAACAAAAAACAAAACAAAAAAAAAAAAAAACAACCTGTGCAACTTCTTTCTGTGCTTCAGTGAGAGCTGCAATATAAACGTCATGCCTGACATAATTCCAGATTTCTCTTTCATCTCTCAAAATACAGGAGCATTATTCAAGCATTTCAGACTGACGCTATTGCACACGTTTTATTCTGCAGGCATATTGAACTAATAATTTCAGTGAGCTTTCCCTAGCACAAATTTCCTCCACCACTAAATTCCAATAAATAAATAAAAGAGTTGCATCCAATTGGAAACACATTGCTGCTGGTCATTTTTTTGGAAGAACAGCAGCAGATTAGGCTGGATACTTCTTGGGGCAGTACTCCTCATGCACCTTAGTGCATCTGCATCTTGCAGCTAACACAAAAGCTGAGAAGAAGAAATCACATTTCCCTGTGTTAAAAATGAGCTTGTGAGGACCTAATCCGTTGATAAATAGTTTCCTTGGTGCTTAGTGGTTTCATTGTTAAAATGTAACACAGATGATCATGTTTAGAGGAAAAAGGCAGGAAAGATCACCACAGGCTCATTGTTATGACTGAAAAACGATGTTTCTTCTCTCCAGCTGCACCACCCACACCCCTTGTCAGGGATTTCTATCTTTTTTCTCATTTCTGGATGTCAAAATTAGCAACAGTCATTGAGAGGGTAGAACATATGACAGAAAAGACGTGTAGGAAGGCCCAGGAGACAACTATACTGGCTAAAATGTTACCAAGAAGAGGTTGTGAAAGGCTGGTCTGATGCACCATGGGAGACCTGTCATGGCTGCCAACTGCTCCAACTGACAGCTACAGCCTCATGGCAGGCCATGGCCAACCACCACAGCCAGGCATGTGCTACCTCTGGGAAGCAGTGCTGAAGAAAAGCCAGTGGGTATTACTTGAAGTGCTGCAGGGTGCTGAGAGGTCTTACACAAGAGCAGGAAGAGCGTGAGGAAGGTGCAGTGAAAGGAAACCTGCACAGACTGACCTCTGAGCCTCTTTTCCCCATCACTCCGTCTTGTCTGAGGAGGAGTTCAGCCTGGGAGGGAGCAGGGGGTTGCTTCAGTTTAGATTCTCAGCCTTTTCCTCTGTTTTTAGTTGGCAGTGAATTATACTCATCTTCCTGTTTTGCTCGTGACGGTAACTATCAGTTTTCTCCCTACCTTTGTCACAACCTGTGAGATTTTTCACTTCATAGAATCATAGAATCACAAGGTTGGAAATGACCTATAAGATCACCTAGTCCAACTGTCTTCACACTGCCACTGCTACCACAAGCTACTAAACCATATCTCGCAGCTCCTCGCCTCTTGAACACTGCCAGGGATGGCGACTCCACCACCTCCCTTGGCAGGCTATTCCAGTGCCTGACCACTCTCTGAGAGAAGAAGTTCTATCTTAAGTCTAACCTAAACCTCTTCTGGTACAACTTGCAGCCACTTCCCCGGGTCCTGCTCGTTGCCTGGGAGAAGAGGCCAAACCCCTCTACGCCACAACCTCCCTTCAGGAAGTTGTAGAGTGCAATGAGGTCTCCCCTGAGTCTCCTCTTCTCCAAACTAAACAATCCCAGCTCCCTCAGCCGCCCCTCATAGGACTTGTGCTCCAGACCCCTCACCAGTTTAGTTGCCCTTCTCTGGACACGCTCTAGGGCCTCAATGTCTTTTTTGTAGTGAGGGTCCCAAAACTGAACACAATATTCGAGGTGTGGCCTCACCAGTGCTGAGTACAGGGGGATGATCACCTCCCTGCTCCTGCTGGCCACACTATTTCTAATGCAGGCCAGGACGGTGCCGGCCCTTTTGGCCACCTGGGCACACTGTCAACTCATGTTCAGCTGGGCATCAACTAACACTCCCAGGTCCCTTTCCTCTTCACAGTTTTCTTCCCCAGTCCCATTGAGCAGAAGTAGTGATACCGTATCAAGGTGGGCATATGGCAGCTGTACAAGTTCAGCCCACTGTATCCTTTCAGGTCTTTCACCCAGAGAACGTCATGTTAAAAAAAAAAAAAAAAAAAAACACAAAAAAAAAAAAAACAGAAAATGGCACCAAAGGATAAAAGCCTGTTTTTCCTGCTCCAGAGAAGCCCATACACTTTCACATCAAGGAATGTGGAGGTGGCAGCTCTTTTTGACAAATATGAGACCCTATATAATGGGACTGTGGTGAGGCTACATCACTGTTTACTAGATCCTGTCTCCTTTATTCACACTGTACCCATGCTTTCTGGGACTTAGAACAATCCCAGTGTGATCAGGCCAGTCCTCCTGACATGTCTGTGAGCAGTAAGTAGCCAGGTAGTGTGGGGATTGTTTTTCCACCACTCATGCTCCACAGCTGGCTGCTTTCTTCTCATCTGCCCCAAGAACTTCTTGCAGTGCCAGGGAGGAAGAGGCATGAACCTGAACTTGGCAGTGGGACGGAAACACCGGGTGGCTTAGAGGAGAAGAGGGCTTGCACTCTTAAATGGCTGTTTAGATCTTTTTCCTACCCAGAGCAGCTTGACTCATAGTGATGAAGAAGTAAGTGGGGAGAGAATATTTGCATCAGGGGCCCAAGCAGCAATACAGAATTTCTTAGTACAAGGCCTGACAAAAGGAAAGCTGGATGCTGTGTGCAGTCGGGAGCTGGCAGTGATGGCTGCACTGAAAACTTTGACACTGTACTGGTCAGAACCACCAGGATTTAGGTAGTGCGATGGCTGGCTGGCCAGGAACTGCCCTCTCTCCTAACAGATGTAAACAGACGGCTCAGAAATGGGTGAAAACAGCTAATCACACAAAATTACAGCCAGTCAGAGGTGTATGTGGCACCACTACTGAAACCTATTTAAGAAGCAGTGGCAGTCACAAAGGGTAGAAGAAAATAGAGAAAATGAACCAGAGGAGACACACAGAAGATTTCAGGAACAAAGCTGGAGATGTGCACTTGGGAAGAGGTACTTATGCTGGAGGAAGGATGCCTGTGAGGGAACTGCAGCCTGTGGGCAGCTGAAGCCAGATGAGGGACACTGCTGAGGAGCTATGGGTGACCCATGCTCAACTGGGGACAGATCGGTTGGTATTATTGACCAGGGTCTAGATGAACAACAGAGAATACAACTTAGTCCTTTGAAATACCTCAAGTTGAGTTACTTTAGGGTAAGAAACCATAGCACACAAGGTAGAGACTGAACATTTCAATTTTTACCCCATTTTCCTCATTTCCCTTGGACCTTACTGCAGCTTCATCATACTATTTTCTCTTTGGACCCACGATCTTCTCATCTTTTTTCATCCTCTCCTCTCAGCTACTCTCTCAGGCTCCTTACTCCTTCCACCATGCAGTTTCTTCCCCATCATTATCAACTTTCCCAGATCTCCTGGTTGGTCATGTGTGCATGCTGTAAAGGCAGAACAAGCTGAGTTTTTGACTTACGTTCTCTCAGAGCAGAGAGCAGTAGTTGAGCCAGAAATAAGGTTTTTCCCAACATCATTTTTTTTTCCTATCAATGACAACCCTCAGGCGTGTCAATTCCACCACATAGCCTGGTGACATCTGCAAACTTACTGAGGTGCACTGAATCCTATTGTCAATGTCATTGATGAAGATTCTGAGGAGCATTTGTCCCAGTACTGACCTCTGTCAGTGATGTCCAGTCACTGACCACTCTTTGTGTATAATTATTTAAAATTGTTTAATCTTTCTTTACACATCAGCTTTTTTAATTTGTATTTTTGTTCAGTAGAAAGAAGAAAAAGACCTGAAGAAAATAATAAGGCAATGGAAGAATGGTTGGAAAGGATGAGTTTACTCCTGGTTAAAAGGAAATGCTTTGAACATAAAAGCTTTACAGGCTAATTTTTTTTTTTTTTTTTTTTTACAGAAGCTTTAGTCTGTAAATCTTGCAGTAAAAACTTTCTCATTTTTGTTTAGCCCCTTTACTGACTAATCATGTAAACCTGTTGATTGACTACAGGGAAACACTGAGGTAAAACTTCTCTAGCTCATCGTAGCCTAGCTCTGCTGTCTGAATCAGCTTAACGAAATCCCTCAAGATTGCACTCAGCTTGTTTAAGAAGTGAAATGTTTTCAGCACAAACCTGGCTGTACCACTTGTTAATTCTCCCTGGGATTCTCAGGTATCCTCACAATAACTACAGGGGTTTTTTTTGCACCAGTGGAGAACAGAAGATTCATTGCAGCTAATATGGCAGTATTTACCTTACATGTAGTTAGCCTGTAAACAGAGGAAATGTCTTTATGACAGTAAGGCTGGTTTTTCATTCCTTTCTCCTCAGTGTGGTATTGAAAATATTGGGTCTCTTAAATTCCCACACAACCCTGTTTGCTAAGATAACCAGAGCACCAGTACAGATAGCTTTGTCATATTATTATTACCATACAAAGAAATAAATTGCATGAACTGAGGACACCATATAAAAGCAAATATATTTTGCTGACTCTGATTCTCTGGAGGCCTAAATTTTGTCTGTCCATTCCCCCTGAAACACTGTGTAAGCGAGGTCTATATTAGCTGGCAGATCTTTGCAGTAAGAACGGAAATGCTTGGTGATGTTTCTGAGTTTAGTTAAGCTAGTTGCATCTTAGTGGCATGGACAAAATGACCACCAAATTATGGAGTCCATTAGCAGAATACCAAGAGCTCATCATCTCCTGGTTTAATTCCTTTAAAAATAGTCCAGTTCACAGATCCCCCTAGACTGTCCTAGGGATTAATGCATGGTAATAGAGACAGCTGGGAGGGTATCTTCAAAAGCACATTCCTAATAAAACATAAATGTAAATGTAGACATATTAAGTACAAACCTTTACAGAAGGAAAAATAAAGTTTTAATAATAAAGCATTTTTTATTATAATTAAAATTTGATGTTTCTTTAGTTCGTTCCACAGATCTGAATTCATTCATGAGCTTATGTTTCACTGCATTTATTATCCCTCATCCACTTTACAAACAGAAATGGAGTGACAGATTAAATGACCTGCCCAAGGCCACAGTGTAGATCAGAAGCAAAATAGAATATAAAATTTTTCCCACTTTATCATGGCTTTTGCCAAAAACTTGAACCATACCCTTTCTTCTGAGGTTCAGGGAAAAACATAAAAAAGAATTTAGGACTGCATCTGTACATTATGGTATCACTAGCAACATATCCCTATGAACACCTTATTCAGTAGGAAGTAAATCTAGATGTAATATGAAAATATATGAGCACTGCTCTGAAAATAACGCCTCTTGTTTTATTATGTTGGCCCACATTGTCAGAGATGGATGTTGGTGGCATGGCAGTAGAGGCTGACCCTTCCCTTCAATATCTCATTCCATGTTGCTCCTGTGTGACTAATGGCAGCAGAGGGGCAGTCTGACAGAATGGCATCTGACACAGAAGTGTATATGAAGAGTGTGTCAATGAATTCTTCTGTGAGGAAAAAATTGCACCCACTGACATTCATTGATGTTGAACCCTTACAGAGATCAAACAGTGTATGTCAGCACAATAAGGTGCTGGATGGCACATGCCAGCAGTGTTGACAGTGATGTGAAAGACAAGCCATGTTCCAAATGGGCATGCAGAACAGTCACACCACAAAAAATGAAGAGCGTCTCAGCCAGCTCATCCATGCAAATGAGCAGATTATGACCAGGAAACTGTGAACAAGGCTTAATATTGGCTCCAATGCTTTGGAAATCATGGTGGTAATGTTGTAATACCCCAAAACAAAGCTAAAGGTGACAGTTTTCTGAGTCGCATCATTACCATTGACAAGATGTACTGTGACTGCTACAAGCTGGAGTCAAAACAGCAGTCCATGGAGTGGGGAAATGTGAATTTGCAATCTAAGAGAAAGTTCAAGATGCAGTCCTCAGTAGGTAAAGTGATGTGAATTGTCTTGTGGGATAGGAAAGGGGTGATCCTTCTGGATTTCCTGGAAACCATACAAACCATCAATTCTGACCTCTATACTGCAGTGCCACCTAAGCTGAAGGCTTGAAGTTACAGAGGGAGGCCAGAGAAGAAGACAACTTTTCTCTTCCAATACAATAATGCCAGGCGCCATACCTGTCTGAAGATCTTGGAGCACATTGCCAGTCTTAGCTGGACTGTATTATTGCACCCACATCCATTTGGGCTGATGAAAGACAGACTGTGTGGGCAACATTTTCCTAGCAATGACACCATAATAGCAGCTGTGAAACAGTTGGTCTCCTCTGCCAGTACAGATTTTTATGAATGCTTCCTTTTGTTCATC